GAAGAACATCTTTCTGGTTGACGAGTGAAGGGCATTTCTGTTGAAGAGCTTGATTTAAACATTCCGGTTGCTGTTATTAATGGTAGTATGTAGAGACCCTCTACTGGAGTTTCACAGTGTGATGTTAATGGTAGTATGTAGAGACCTTCCACTGGATTTTCACAGTGTGTTATAAATGGTAGTATGTAGAGACCCTCCTCTGGATTTTCATAGTGTGTTACTAATGGTAGTATGTAGAGATTAGAGACCCTCTACTGGATATTCATAGTGTGCTATTAATGGTAGTATGTAGAGACCCTCTACTGGAGTTTCGCAGTGTGTTGTTAATGGTAGTATGTAGAGACCTTCCACTGGATTTTCACAGTGTGTTATTAATGGTAGTATGTAGAGACCCTCTACTGGATTTTCATAGTGTGTTATTAATGGTAATATGTAGAGATCCTCCACTGAATTTTCATAGTGTGCTATTAATGGTGATATATAGCTTTCGCACATATTTATGAAATACATTTAAGTACAACATTAGACACAAACTCATTATTTTACTATAATATGAAAGAATCAATCAACCCCATGCATTAAAATTTTTCAACTTCTAAACTAATTTCCTTTAAGTTGGTAGAAACAAAACAAAAAATCATACATATTACATCCCACGAACTTATGACTCAAAGTTAAGAAGAATATATGTCAACCATATCATATCTGCCATGTGACATATCATATCTGCCATGTGACAACTAGGCCTTTCGCACAATACCGAGGCTTTGGTTTAACAAGGTAAGCATTTCGTGTTTACTTACAATTTCCAAAATATTTTTACATACACGTTTCTAGCTCTCTGTGTGTGGGTAGTTCTAACAGTAGAGGTTTGTTCCTGGAATGTGTGTAGATTACTTTTGACATAGTTATGTTTTGTTCTGCGTCATTCCTGCACTTTCTCATCGGAAAAAAGCTGTATAAAAGAATGCGATATGTCCTACTACTCGATTTAATCTGGAGATGAAAAAAAAGAGGGCCAATTAAGTTTCCTAGACATTATAGTCAAACGGAATAACAGGTTTCTCTCAATGTTGATATACAGAAAATCGTTTTCGGTGGCTTCCCACCACACACACAGATCGTATCACCCATAGCCACAAACATTATCCGCCTTTTCTATGCACGTGTTTAGAGCTCTAAAAATCTGTTCTTACGATTGTGACCTAAGATGCGAGTTATTTTTGTAAATATATAGCTAAAGACAGAAACTATGATCCCGAGATATTGATAGGCTGCATAAAACCATAGTAATGAATTAAAAATGTCACGCCTAGCATGGCCAGGTGGTTAGGGCGCTCGACAAGGTTGATGGTTCAGCAAATTTCGTTCAGGTGACCTGAGCCTTAAAAACTGTGGTGGCAGGGGCTGACATGTTCAAATTGACATTGATGCTCTGAAGACGCTTGTTGAGTTTAATCCAAGGCAACACACTCATGAACACAACTCTCATGAAACAATATGTAAACATCTAAGGAATATGAGAAAACTCCATAAAGGAGGTCTTTGGGTGCCTCATGAACTCTCCAATGATCATAGTTTCTAACGTGTGAGCGTTGCTTCGTTTTTTCTGGCGCGTAATACACGTGAACCATTTTTGGACAGAACTGTCACCGATGATGAAACAGATTCTCTATACGAATATTAAATGCCAAAAACAATCGCTCAATCCTAGACTAAAACCACTTCCGACCCCAAAATCTGGACTCCATCCACAGAAAGTGATGCTTTGCATTTGGTGGAACATCAAAGGAGTAATTCATTTCGAATGCAGAGAGATCTATCATCAGCAACCGGAACGTTTAAATCAAGCTCTTCATCAGAAATGCCCTTCACTCGTCAACCGGAAAGATGTTCTTCTTCTCCACGACAATGCACGTC